CAAATAGTATAAATTAATGATATATTTATTATATATATTTATTATTAATTTGTATAAAAAGATTTACAAAAGTAAATTCAATTTTTAATATCAATCATCAATCTCCTTTTTTTTTTTGAACAAATTTACAAAGGATCGGATTCGAATCGTTACCCTAAAAATGAAAGAATGCACTTGTACATGACTTGACGCCACTAGATAAAGGCCAAGTGCTACAATCATCAATCTCTTAATACCATCAGTGCAGGATAAAATATAACTTCTACCAATGACTCACCAATTTATGACTATCTACCTTTTACTAATTAAGCAAAATTTCATTAGTTTCTCCCTGAAAATAAGGAGATTTTTAGTATAAAAGTAGGAACACTAGGTACCATATAGTTAAGCAGGATATTGGATGCCCGCTCATTCCAATGAATCCTTATCTCACCACAAATCGCGTTGTTCATTCCCATGGGCTAGCTAGGCTTTTGGTATTCATGCACTTTAGGCCTCATTCCAATCGGGTTAAAGCCAACTATCATTCCTCTACTTTGTGAAAAAGTTCAATTTAACCCTTCTACTATGAAATCACCTCAGGTCATCCCTCTACTTCAGTTTGAGCTCACATGCCCTCCCTCTACTATTCAAAAAGCGATCAATTTCGTTCCTCCTTCCATTCCATGGCTAACACCGTCACTTTTTATAGCTAAAGGCCTAACGGTTTGGCTAACACCGTCACTTTTCTTTAATTTGGTTATAATAGGACCCACTAATACAACATCATACTCTATATTAATATCATTTTACATGAACATTTTACCAACTTTTTTTTTCAATTATTACCCACATTTATTTATTTATTTTTATTAGTTTTTTAGTTGATTCAATTAAAGGGATATTTTTCAAAATTATAGTAGGTAATTAAGTAAATTTAATTTTTTTAAAAGAAGAAATAGATAAAAAATTTTGAATTTTATTAAGGTTTAAAAAATTATAATTAGTAAAAAAAAATTCATAATGCCTATTACCATTCCTTTAATTGTAAACTTAAACTTTGGGTGGTTTAAAGTGAGTTTACAATTTGCACTTGTGTTCATGTACATAAGTAGACTAAATGAGTATATGAGTGAAATATTTATCTATATTTGTATTTAATTTAAAAATTAATAGATATAAAACTTTAATATCCAGTATCTATTTAGGTATTAAAAATCTATTATTATTATTTAACTCATTGAATATATGTATACTTATAATTGTGTTTATATATTTGTTGAATATTATAATCTTCTAATACAAATTAAAATATAATTAAACATATTCCAAAACGTATACTTTATTTCATATATAATATATAAGCATAAGTTTTTTCGAATACATTAATTTGATGTAAGAGGTGTACCTTTAAAATAACCTAGATAGGAATTAGTCTGAAGATGCAAGAAATCTAGTTTGAAAACATTTTAATTATAAATATCAAAAAAATAATATATATATACATAAAAAAATATATGACTTTATACTTATAATAAAGTACATAATTAAGTTGGAATACAAACACAAAATGTAGTAAAAGGTACTAATTAAGGATGTAGGGTTTTATTTTAAATATGTCACCTTTTATTTATTTATTTTAAGAGACAAATATTTTTTTGAATACATCTTAAAATAAGAATCATTTTTTTATAGTTTAAAAAGAAAAGTATATCTTTTAAGGGCTATTTTAAAAGTACACCTCTCATATTGAATTAGTATATTAAAAAAAATTATATTTGTATATTATGTATGAATTAAAATATATGTTTTGCAATACATTTAATTGTATTTTAATTTATATTAAAAGATTATAATATTTAACAAATATATAAGTATATTTGCAAGCATACCATATGTACATCAACAAGTTAAGTAATATGAATAGATTTTTAATACTTGAATAAATATTAAGTATTAAAATTTTATACCTATTAACTTTTAAATTAAATACAAATATAAACAATACTTCATCTATATACTTGCTTAGGTTATTTATACACATAAATAAAATCACAAATTGTGAGTTCACTTTGACCACTAAAAGCTTATAGTTAAAGAAATAATAATAGGTATTATGGAATTTTATTTTTTTAGTTATAATTTTTTTTGAACCTTAATAAAATTCAAAATTTTTTATCTATTTCTTTAAAAAAAATTAAATTTACTTGATTACTTTCATAATTTTAAAAAATATTCATTTAATTGACTCAACTAAAAAATTGATAGAAAAAGATAAATAAACTGGGCTAATAACTGGAAAAAAAAAAAGTTGATAAAATTTTCTTATAGGAAGATATTAATACGAAAAATGATGTGACATTGGTGGGTCCTATTATAATTAAATTAGATAAAAATAAATAGAAATATATGTTAAACGCCAAACGGGCCTAAACCATTAGGCGTTAACGGTAAAAGTGACGATGTTAGCCAGAATGGATGGAGGGACGAAATTAATCACCTTTTGAATAGGAAAGGGAGGACATGTGAGCTCAAAATGAAGTAGAGGGGCGACTTAAGGTGATTACATAGTAGAAGGGTTAAATTGAACTTGTTTACAAAGTAGAGGGACGAGAGTTGCCTTTAACCCCATTCCAAATTTCCAATCCAAACAAACTCCATCAGTCGTCGTTCATGCAGTTCAGTTCCACTCCAAACAAACTCTATCTCTATCACTTCTCTATGACCTTACCCACCCATAATTCCAGCCCTCATTTCGACCGCACAAACCCTTCCTCACCCTCTCGTCGACAAAAATGGCTGCCAATGCTGCAGATGAAGCCGAAATGAAGTCCATTGAAGAGCAACCCCAGCACCAGAAGCCATTAGACCATCCTGATTTTGTTGATAGAAGACCCAAAAAAAACAAGTATGCTTTGATATGTGCACTTCTCGCCTCCACAAACTCCATCCTCTTAGGCTATGGTGAGTCTAGTTCAGTTTTTTCCCCCTAAATTTTCATACACCCATTTACCAATTTTGGATACATTGCTATCAATTTTTGCAGACATTGGTGTTATGAGCGGTGCAGTGCTTTTTATCAAGGAAGACCTAAAGATTTCGTCTGTTCAGGTGGAGATTTTAGTGGGTATTTTGAATGTTTTCTCTTTAGTCGGTTCTCTAGCTGCTGGGAAAACCTCCGATCTAATAGGAAGAAGATACACCATAGTCCTGGCTGCAGCCACATTTCTAATTGGGGCTCTTTTGATGGGGCTGGCGCCGTCTTTCCCAGTTCTCCTATTGGGCCGCATTATCGCCGGAATCGGAGTCGGATACTCCCTCATGATTGCCCCAGTTTACACCGCAGAGATCTCCCCTGCCATGTCGCGCGGCCTTCTCACGTCCCTCCCCGAAGTATTCATCGTCTTGGGAATCCTCCTCGGCTATATTAACAATTACACCTTCTCGACTTTGCCCCGTCACCTAAATTGGCGACTAATGCTTGGTTTCGCGGCAATTCCGGCAATCGCAATTGGGTTCGGCGTCACCGCCATGCCAGAATCGCCACGTTGGCTGGTCATGAAAGGCAGAGTCGCCGACGCTAAACGGGTTTTGACCAAAGTATCGGGTAGCGAGGAGGAAGCCAAGTTCAGACTCGACGAGATAACAAAAGCCGCCGGTTTCGATTCAGCAGCTAACGCCGATTGGCATGGACAGGGGGTTTGTAGAGAACTAATCCTCCATCCATCTCGACCCGTTCGCCGGATTCTCGTCGCCGCCATCGGAATCAACTTCTTCATGCAAGCCTCTGGCAACGACGCCGTCATATACTACTGCCCGGAAGTGTTCCGTTCCGCCGGAATCACCAACAAACGGCAGCTTTTCGGAGTGAATGTCATCATGGGAATAGCAAAGGCAACTTTTGTCGTTATCTCAGCGCTTTACCTGGACCGGTTCGGTCGGCGGCCTCTTCTGTTATTGGGCTCAACTGGGATGGCCCTTTCTTTATCTGTCTTGGGCCTGGGCTCAACGTTTCTGGAGCATTCTAACAGCAAGCCTATCTGGGCTATAGTTCTGTCTATTGTGGCTGTTTGTGCGTTCGTTTCCTTCTTTTCAATTGGGCTTGGGCCTATCACTTGGGTTTATTCCACCGAGATATTTCCATTGAAGCTAAGGGCCCAGGGGGCGGGCCTGGCGATTTCGGTGAACAGATTGGTTAGTGGGGTGGTGTCCATGACGTTTCTGACCATTTCCAAGAAGATAACATTCGGGGGAATGTTCTTTGTGCTGGCCGGAATAATGGTGGTGGGAACGGCGTTCTTCTATTTCTTCTTGCCGGAGACCAAAAACAAGAGTTTAGAAGAAATTCAGGCTCTTTTTGAGGATAAGGGTGACAGTGATGGTGGGGGAGGGGCGGAAATGAGAGAAATTTGAAGTTGATATCTGCAATTGCAGGATCATGCCTTGGGACCAAAATGCTTTGTAGTGGCAGGCTGGCTGCATCTAACTTTTGAGAATGGTTTTGTTTTTCTGGGTGGATTGATGGCACAGAAAGTGCTAGAAAACTTCTTCAGTTGTGCAATGGGCTTCTTCTCTAGTGGTGTCATTAGGTTAATTATTTAGATATTAGAACTACGTATTATTTTCAAAATTTTCAGTATTAATCCCAACTCAGTCATTCCCCTCCCTGCCCTGTAATTACAAATTTGGAGTGTGGTCAGTTGACAACACTCAACTATATTTAGATTTGGAAGTGTAAAGTTTTTATCATGTTCTCAACTTTTTTTATTTAAAAATTTATTTATAATTTTGTATATATTTATTTATTTAATTATATTTTATGATTTTGCAATCATGGCATTGGAGATATATCATTGCTGATTCATTCACCAGTCATTCATTGGGGAAATCAATTTTTTTTTTTTACATGTGGTCCAAGCAAAATATACTGTACCTATCACCTAGAGGAAAAAGAAGAGAGATACTTGAAAATGAAAGATAAAGGTAATTTGCTCACAAGAAGTGGACATATTAACCTATCCTTTCTGAGCACATTTTCCAGAGTAACTGCAGAGTAGCTTGAATGATGTTTTGAAGAAGCTTTAGAAAAGCTTGTAAACGTATCCCACAAAGGAGACTGCTGCAACTTTTAGATTATGTTATGGTGGAATTTCTTGTATCACTTACGTCATGTTTGGGTTTAGGGAAAATGACGAAGGAAATGAAATGAGAAACCTTTCTTTAATTCAGTAAGAAAAGAAATTGGAGATGAGGGCAATGTTTGCTATAATTTACTTTTTTTTTGCAAATTAAAAATATGAAGTATATTAAAAAAGAGAGATTACATGTCATTATCCCTTACATTAAAGAAGTTAGAACCGATGGTACTAATAGCAGAAGATTTTGCCCCATATCAAATTTGGACAATTAAGTAGAGATGATCGACTATTACTTGAGATTACAGAAAGTAGCAAATACAGAGCTACTACCAAAGTAGAAAGATTTTCTTGACGAGTGACCAAGGATCTTGAATAATCTCCACTGCCTTGCTAGCTTCTGCTTTTGAGGTAGAAATAGTTAGGGAACCCACCCCTTGACCATGTCATCAACAACCAATCAAATCGAGTCAGTTGCACATTCAAGCTGTCTTTCTTCTCTACAATAGGCAAATCCAATGAAATCCATGTTGATGTTTGTGTAATGAAGTGATTCCGTGACTGAGATGACTCTAGGCACTTGTTTGAGGAGGATTTGGAATCTAAAGTGATAGAGCACGAGACCATACAGCTACAGAAGATAGACTTTTGTTTATAGCAGGTAGAAATCTTCAAGACTCGTATCACACTTAAGTCCTGTTTGGTTTTAGGACAATTTACTATAATGATTTTATCAAGAAAAGTGTTTTGTAGAAAGTAACTTCGATAATAAAATTTAGTTGAGATTAACTTTTCATAAGTTAACACTGGAAAAGTTGGTAGAAAGGAGGACAAATTTACTATTCTAGCACGTTGATAAATGGAGGTGGGAGGGGAATGATTGGGGGGCATTGTCCCCCACCGCTTCATCTCCTATATAAGCCTAAGTTACAATGACCACGCCATTTCAATACACTCCAACCCTTGTGGATGAGGAGTGGAGGACTTCTATCTATGGTTGTTCTACCATAACTCCTCCCCAAAATTTCAATCGGTTGAAATGGAAAAGTTAAAAATTTTCCCTAAAAAAGGACATGACAGTAGGAGTAGACATCTACTGCATAAACGAGAGGTCAAAAATAAATTAACCCACCGAAAGGTAAAAGAGGCTAACAGTGTAAGACAAACATTCTGCATCACGGGTCTTTGATCATACAAAGGGCCTACTGAATATAAACATGATGTGCTCTAGTTGAAAAATCAACAGTAACACCGGAATACATATCTTGTCTAGTCAGATGTATCAATTTCGCAACTTTACTGATTCTTTTGAGTTGATGCATTTTGATTGGACTAGGCTATTTATCCCTGTGATACTCTTAGATTTTCTTGTTCCTTTCTGATTAAACCCACATTCAAATTTCACAGCAGAAAAGGCAAAAGATGTTGAGAAATTAACCCAATTGAAAGTTGAAACTGACAAAGAAGAGTGATTGGTGTCTCAAAAACCTGGCTCCGGTTCTTGTTCTGAAGCTCTTGTCTTGTAACAGAAGATACAAAGTACTCTCTCTCTTTGTCTGTGAAACTAAATAAATAATTACAGAAAATTGAGGTCAATTTAAGGACTTGATTATGGTAATCTCCAATAATTAAGTGCAGCCAAAATGCAGAGGACAAATTCACATGGGAAAGTTAATAGAAAACCACCAGTTTATATTAGGAAAGTCATGACTTATATATGAGTTAAAAATCAACATTGGGGAAAATAAGATTTTCAGAGCCTTTGGTACGTGATCATGACAAAAGCAAAGTGGGTAAGGAAATCTATGCCCAAGCAAAGGTTTCTTCTGAACTAAATAACTCTTATTCATATATAGATATGCTTTAAAAGCCAGAGATCCACCCACCCTAAACTGTCTATTAGCTCTTGTCTCTCGTTGTGGGGTGTATTTCAAGTAAAGGGTAAGACCTGCCCTCTTTGGCTTGGTTTTGAGTCTTTGGAACCTTCTTAATCTGAGAGATACCCTTGGAGAAAGGGTTCTTAGGCCTTGACATTGTATGTCCTCTAGGGCTTATGACTTCTGCAACAAACAAGGACATTATTCTGCATTTCCAAAAGATTACAAATTTTCTATTCTATCCTTTAGGTTTAACACTCCTATTGGTTGTACACAATTTTTTTATTAGTTGCATAATTAGATATAACCTTCTGTATATTTTTTTGTATATTATACAAGCATGTTATTCACTTTGATACCGTATGACTTTAGAAATCAATAAAATTCATTGTTTGATGGTTGTGTTCTGCGGCAATTAGCAGCATATATCAATTGTCTTGGTACGGATCACCACTTAGGTTCGTTGGTTCGAACTTGAACTCTTCATTTTCCCTTTCCTCATTATGTAAAATAAAAATGATTTTGAAACTGTAGTACAACTAAGTGGACTTAACAAATTCTAGTTCTAAGGTTGTTTTTCCTTTTATCAAAGAGAGCAGAGTACACACCCGCTGAGATTCAACTTCTTGGTGCAGTCAAAGTACTTGACCTGTTTATTTGTCTCTTACGTAAATTGGAGCCAGACGCTAGCATATAGACAAAAATATGCAAGTCTTACATAGATTAAAACATGCAAAAGGTGACAACATTATAAAATAGTATTGCATAACATCAAATGTGGAGAAAATTACAATATACAATATATACCTTTGTCCTCAACTTTCAGTCTCACATTTCAAAATGATCTCTCCCTTTCTCCCTTGGTCATTTTTCTGTCCTCTTTACATATATTTTTTAAAAAAAACTCTTCAAATTTGGCAATTCTAATTTTAAATCTTCCATACAGCAGAGTAAGGACTAGGTAAGAACTGAGAAGTACAGGAAATGCACAATTCCTATGCACTTAAAATGAGTTAGTGAGCCAACCATGGTTGTGATGCAGTGGTAAGGGCTGCAATTCTAATTTGAAATCTTCCATACAGCAGAGTAAGGACTAGGTAAGAACTAAGAAGTACAGGAAATGCACAATTCCAATGCACTTAAAATGAGTTAGTGAACCAACCATGGTTGTGATGCAGTGGTAAGGGCTTACTATTTTGGCACCTTGATTTCGCCTTCAAACCCAACCACCAACCTTAGTTCTCCGTCTTCTAAATATATAGTTGTAATTTAATTGTTTTATTAAAACACAACCACCAACCTTAGTTGTCCATCTCCTAAATATATAGTTGTAATTTAATTGTTTTATTAAAAAACAAAAAGTTAGTGAGATTAAAATTTCATATTAAAAGAAATAAACTTTCATGAATTAATGGTTTGAATCTAAGTCTTAAAATTTGAGTATTTTTAGTTTAAAAATTCTATTTTTACCAAGAATTTTGGAAAGTACACCAAATGAAAATAGAAAATGGTGATTTAAAGTAGAGGCTTAATCATACGCCTTCTTTGTAAGGGTAAAACCTGAAGTTTAATGGTCAAAGGATAATAATTACGAATGAGACCCAACACAATCTTTGATGACAACAAGAGACTTTGTGTGTCTCTTTTCCAGGGACATTCCAAACCCGCAGATGAGTTGTACCCTCTTAACCAGAACAAAGCCATGCTGAAGCCAATTGCCCTTGCAGGCCTATAGATCAATGCTCTATTCCCCACAAAGGCAGCTAGGAATAGTTTCACATGTGTGTATGAGGCAGGGTATACTGTTTTTTGAGTTGGGCTATCAGACTAGATTGTGTCTTGTTTCTTGTTTTTTGTCTTTTTTTTTTTTTTTTTTTTTGAACTGATTACAAATTTGGGGGCTGGATTTGTTTCTTACAATAAATAGGCTTCGAGGTTGTCATGATTATTGATAATTACATGTGTATATGGTACTACTCAATTATAAAAAGCTTGTCATAATTACTGGATATTGATAACCTAGAACTCGATTAAGGACATATCATGATTCAATAATTTTCTTCATGGAATCTTATAGATGGAACTTTTCTGCCATAATCATTCTGATCAATGGTTTCATCTTTTAATTATATTTTATCTCCCACTAGCTAGGTTGTAGATGAAGTTTGCTATTTGAATTTCAAATGCACTCCAAATGACTAAAAAATTCCTTTAATTAGCATTATAATTGGAGGAACTATTGACACAAAATATTTTCTTTCGATAAAATCTTAGATTTCTCCCTTAGTTTCAAAAATAATTTATGTTTTTATCTATAATATTTTTGAAAAAATTTTTCTAACTTGTACTTTAAGGTTAAAAATGTAACCAAAAAGCATTTTAGTCATTAATTTATATAGAAAAATAAAAAATTGATGTTAATTTTAGCATTAATGTTACATATTTTAATTTAATTGGTTAGTTGTTAAAATTAAAATAAACTTTATTCTTTTTATGTAATTTGCATTAATTACTTATTTATGACACAGATTAAAAAAAAAAACCTTCTTTAAAGAGGTGATTAAGGTAACAGATATTTTTTTTTTCTTTCTATGATAATGTGAATAATTACATTTTTTTTTTATTGCACTGGGGAAACTTGGGGGTGGGGAATTGGGAGCGGGGGAGTCAAACCCGGGACTTTGATGTCCTAAACACTAATTCTTTCAGGGGATGGCCATTAGGGTAATAAGTGATTGACGAATCATTAAAATTAAGGATAGAGAAAGTTAAAAAATGAAAAAAAATATTTCTCTCCATTCAAATATAAAAAAATGATGATTAATTTTGAATTAAAAAAAAATCTATTACAAGACACTAATTATTAGATTAAGAGATCCCTCCATCTAATGATTGATTTTTTTTGTATGCCAAAAGGTTAAATATTTGGTAAAACAAAGGTTTAAACCTCTCATTTTAACTTATATTTTGTAATACAACACATTTATAAAAGAAATAAAAGGAATATTTATAATTTTTGTACAATCTAAATTATATCAAATTGTATTAAGTTAAAATGACTTTTCATCTATTAATTAATATATTACAATTCAACACCGTCTGGATTACTAAGTGCTAAGCTCATATATCTGCCTTTTTTTTTGTCTATTCAAATACGATGAATTAGTATGCATTTTCCATTGGATGTGAAATACTTTTGTATCTATGAGCTCCATTATAAATAGCCTACTCCTCCATATTAGCTAGGCTTGTTGAGATTATTTAAAAATTGACACTTATATTCAAATTCCTCCATCTTAAATTAAACTCCTATCAGCATACATAATGAGAAATGATCATTAAAAAAAATTCAAACGGCTTGGAAAAAAAAAACCTTTTACAAATTCAAATAATTATTTTTTAATGATCATTAAAAAAAATTCAAACAGCTTGATAAAGTTAATTGGTAATGAACAAAAAGTCTTCTCCTAAACCCACAAAAGTCACTTTAATAAGGACAAAGAAGAAAACAAAAAAACAGCAGAAAGCATCCACCAGACACTCATTAATTTATCATTTAAATCACTTCCCACTTACGGTTTCTCATTGTGTGTTTATCCACACTCCTCCCTCCACCCTCATCTCCCCGTGTTCAAACCTCTCACCTTCTTCATCACTCCTCTACCATGGAGAACGGTTTCAAACTGCGAATCTCTCGCATGTTTCGTTCCTCTTTCGGCTCTTGCCGGACCCGGAACGTGCCGGATGTTGTAGAAAAGGCCGTTGTCTTCCCTAAGAAACAGAGAGATTTCCAAATGATGGAGCCATTAGCGCCATTGTCACCAAAGGCTCGTCCTTTCCCCACCATTTGCAGAAAAACAGCCCAAACCATCAACCATGATTGCATCATGATAGCACCCAGAGAGACTCTCCCGAGGCGGAAAGTATCTGCTCGATACCCTCCTTTCTTTGTCTCCCCATCCAATGTTGATGGACACAAATGCCCCCCTGCTTCTCCTGTTTCGCCTTTCAATCCCTTTTCTGACTGTAAAAATTTCGGGTTTTATGAGAAAAAGAAAAATTCGGGCAGAAAAATGAAGAACAAGAACCAGAAGAAGAATCTGAAGAGCTCGTCTTCTCTAGACAGTGCTGATCACAATGGCGGATGGTGGTTTGGCAGTGACGATGAAACAGAGACCCTGTTCTCTTCAAAGAGCACGTTTTCGTCCGATTCATCAGAGTCTGGCCGCCGTCGTCGTCGACATTCCCGGCGGCCTAGATACCGCCGTCATGAGAAGAGCGAAATGGGGGTGTTTCCGGTGGAAGGAATGACCAAAGTTAAGGACAGCTTTGCGGTGGTGAAGAGTTCCAGCGACCCATACAGTGATTTCAGGATATCAATGGTGGAGATGATCGTGGAGAAACAGATATTCACCGCCAAGGATCTGGAACAGCTGTTGCAGTGTTTCCTGTTGCTGAACTCGCATCACCATCACAGAATCATCTTGGAGGTCTTTACAGAGATTTGGGAGGCATTGTTCTCGAACTGGTGTTGAAAAGAATAAAAACTGTAATACTCTCTCTCTGGGGTTTTTTTTTTTTTCCCTCTTTTTAGCTCCTCTGTTTTAAGTCCCGCTGTTGTTGATTAAGGAATATTGTAGTTTAGGTTTTCTAACTTAGAACTAATTAACTTTGTTTATGGAGAAAACTGGTGTTTTCCTCTATGTTTGTTTTTGTTTCGGTTCTCTGTTCTCCATTGACAAGACTTTGAAAAAACTTGAGCTTGAAAAGATAAGCCAGAAGGACCAGACCAGAGAGAGATAAAGATCTGACGACGAGATGTTTTTTTCCTGGGAAAAATGAGTGGAACATTTTTCTTCTTGATTCTTTTGAAAATTGTTGGGGAAAGGTGAACTTTTGGAGCAAGATTCAACTTGGGAAGATGTAGTAGAGCTCAATCAATTATTTGATTTGAAAGTGAGAAAATGGCATAAAGTTGGGATTTTGAGTTTGTCTCCCTCTTTATTCGTTGGCCTAATGTCAAAAAAGGCTTACAACTTGATGAAAAGGTGCCACTCCCAACCCTTTGGCTCCAAATTCCTACCCTAAATTTGTAGTTGGATCTCATGTCCTTAAACTTCTGAAGAATTGGATGAAGAGTTCCCTATTTTATAGTTTGAATTATTTTAAATTCTATGAGAAAGATGGTTGGATGGAGATAGGGTTTGATTATCAAAGAATTTACATTTTATTTAATAATTTAAACTGTTTAGTCTAATATTGATTAAATTGTACAATAAATTTTCATGAATGAAATTATAAAAAGTAATTAAAAATATAGCAGTTTTTTGTTGATGAATTTATATAAAGACATTAAAAATATATGTACAGTATGTAACATGAATCAGAATAAAGCACCGACATCTAGAAGTATGTACGGGCGATGATTGTGGATTCATGTACCCAACCAAATATATAAAATCCAACTTATTGGTCAAACATATAAAACATAAGGAACAATATTAGCAAATTTCAAATTAGTGTGTCCTACTTTTCGTTAATTTATTGATTAATATAATGTTAAATACCAAATACTTTCCACTTTATTGCCATAAATTATTTATTTTTTTACTAAATAAATAGTATAAAATAAAACTCCATTATGAATTTGAACTTTGTAAACCCGCTTTTGTATCAATTTTAACCATCTGCTACTTTATTATTTAGAAATAAAATGAACCCTAAATTAGTTTATAGCTAAATTGTACATTGTGTCAAAGTTTGAAATAAAGCCAAATAAATAAGACAAGAACTGTAATTGGAATGGTGTGGGAAAAATAGTATATAGTAATTTGGATTTGAAATGATCTAGACGCATTAGAGATTGGCTTGACCCCTGCAGACAAATAGAATCGCATCAATTTGATATTTTTCTAAAATTGTAGGTCGACTTTAAAACAGGACAAAAGCACAAATTTGTTGTTAAGTATTAAGTACACGTATTTTTGTTGTGTTTCAGTTTAATTTATTGTGTGTGTGTGTGTATATATATATATATATATATATGAGTCCTATTTAATTAATTAATTTGTTTCCAATACAATTACATTGCAAAATAAACAAAAAACAAAACCATATCATCAAGCAAAGATGTGTGTTTTTGTAGGATTGTGTCCTCCTAACAACTTGATTTCAAACATACAGAAATGTCCTTTTTCGTAACACCCACCCAACAATGGATCCAACTCAAATATCTATCTATATTTTCTGGTTTTTCATTCAAAAAACTATGTTTTTTCCTATCTAAACTGACTGTTTTCTAAACTAGTCCAACCTAAGTAATTTCATGCTTGGATGGATGGCTGTCCAAACTATTTTTCTTTTCTTAAAACTTTATTGAAAATAATTATACCATCAAAACTAGAAAATTGATGAGGGATTACTTTATTGTAATTTCTCTAAGAAACCAAAATCCACATGCCTAGATTATGCCAGTTTCTTTGAATTCTTAGTGACTTTTATTTAAAAGGAAAAAATATTGATCAAATGCACAAAAATGATTCTTAATATTATCTAGTGAAGAAAGCTTAGAAAAGTAATTGATCAAATTATTGATAAAAAGACATTTTTTCACCTCTACCTTCTCATCCCTCTTACTCATGACGTTTCAATTAATCGGTTTGTTTCATAAAAAAAAAAATGTTTAGTACTTGGGAAAAGAAGGAGGAAACGCCGGTTTCAAAAGTGAAAAGGCAGAATGAAATGAGAAAGCTGAGAGAAGAAGAAACGAATGTGTACCAAGAAACTTTAGCCCATTTTAAATCCCAATCTCGGAGTACGGCCTTTTGTGCTTTTCGGAGCTTCGATAGCTAAGTTACGTTCGGAATGCATGGATATCTGCTTTTCACTTTCTCTTTTGTGATGAGAGCATTAGATGAATTAATGCAATGCAGGAAGCCAGGAACAACAGGACGTGGTTGGGTTCTGAATTCTTTCTGATGATGAATTAATGAGATGGAAGAATTGCCAAATCATTTCCTACCGCAACAGAATGTGAATTTAAAGAATGTCTGATCCGGACAGAAGCTGTTCACTCTTGGATATTGGTGTTCTCGTTAATTAATGCTGTTTTGCATTTTCTGGGTTGTTGAGCCGCTTCGTAACAACACGTGAAGGCGCAGGGGTCCTGGGCTGGTGCCAACGATGTTCTTCAGCTATTTTCCATCAAACGTCGTATTCCTTTGCCTAATGTATGATGCTTTATTCTTGGACAAAGAGGTTTACAGTCACTGGGCTGCTTGGTTTTGGGCTATATGTATTTAATGCATTGGCGGGGACTGGGGAAAATGCATGTAGGTTAAGCCCTTTTCCCCAAGTCCAGGCTGGTTGAGTGTTTCCTTTTTATTTTTTTTTTAACCAATTGATGCATAGGAGATTTGAAGTTTTGAAATTTTGAAATTTTAAGACATAAAATTGGCTTTTGCAATCAAAGAATCTTTGGTCTAATCTAACCTTTTAGTAGAAGTGGTTTGAGCCAATGTGGTGTATTCTTTAGTATACCAAATCGCACTGATTGCTACGTATCTCTTCGGCTTTGAACTGCTGGTGCAGAATATAGGGGGTGTTTGGTTTAAGGTTTTGTAAATAGTCGCCAGCTTGATTTTAATTAAATAAATTAAATATTTTAAATTATAAATAATAATAATTATTAACTATTTAATATTAATTATCAACTATCAATTATATCTGAATAGTTAATCTAAACATCCTATATATTGATATGTATCAGTTAAATTTTTTGCTTGTTCCGGTCTGTACCAATTGCTGGTACCAGCTAAAAAATTTGGTATTGCCCTGTTTTGTACCAACTGGTACAATTTTTATACTTTTAAATACTCTTGATTTAAGTAATTTAGTCCCTCTAAGGCTAAGCGCATCTTAGGTCCCAATACATTTTTCAAATCAATTAAGTTCTTATTTCCAAATTACATCAATTAACTTGAATTTTATATATAAGGACCTCCTATGAGTCTATTAAAATATATATTTAAGACATTAATTGGTGTACATTTTAATTCAACATATTACAACACACTCATTAAAAAGTCATTGTTTTCTGGTTTAAAATTAAAGATAAACAAATTTAAAGATTTAATCATGCATACAGATGTAGGAATTGACTAAATTGAACTGTATTTATACTATATTTTAATAGTTGAATTGAATAAGTGTAAAAAAGTGTATAGAACTAAGTGTGTATTAATTATTTTTCATATATTTAATTGAGATTGAGAAAAATCAAAATGTCCTAGCAATTAAAATATATATTATGTTTGATAATAAAAAAAACTAAAATACCTTTAATAAATTTACACACAAACTAGTGGTATTGGAAGTAAGAGTAGCCTCTTGTTGATTATAATTCAATTATATGTAAAGTTCCCTTTGAATTGCATCAAATTGTAAAAAAAAGCACCCTTGAATAGTGGTATTGCCATTAAACCAAAAATAATGTAAACAACCTAAGGCCCGCTGGAAGTAAGAGTAGCCTCTTATTGAGCAAAATTCAATTATTTATATAGAGTCCTCTTTTTTATAGTCTAAACTACATCAAACTATAAAACGATTCTTGAATGGTGGGGATAGCTTCCAATATCAGGGGAGAAATTTTATATGCTATTATGCACACAACCTAAGGCCCATTGAAAGTAAGAGTAGCCTTTTATGGAGCGAAATTGAATTATATATACAATCCCTTTTTTTATAATCTAAACTATACCAAACTATTAAAAAAGAGACTTAAATGGGGAATGGCCTCCAATATCAAGGTTTTACCCTGTCAAAGGGTTAGTTTTGTATACTTTGACACTAAACATTATATATATATATATATTAATCTTAGGAGATTCAATAATACCACATGATGGATGTGATAAAGTTAGAACTCACACTATGTCCATATAATTAATAATTGTGATTGAATGTTCTAACATTTTAGGATATATTATTTATTTAATGTTAGTACGTATTATTTTTCCCTTTTCTCACTTATATTAATTTGAAAAACCAATCACTAAATTGAATGTTCAAATTCAAATATATCATATATACATGCCAACTTTTAGATTTTTTTTATGGTGAATAATAATATTCATTAATAATGAAGCCAAGAGATTATAGAATGATAATCCCTAAACCTTTAACACTAGTGATATATGATTTTATCTGGATATATATGGACAATTAAGTGCAAAAAGGAGACTATATAAAGTAATTGCCATAGGAGAGCAAATAGACTAGGAAGACTACCCAATTGTGTGTCAAAGCATTTGAGAAGTTCCATATTATACTCTAGCTTTTGAGGTAGAAATATTACCTAATTGTATGATTCCATGATTCTAGGTATTCAAATAGAGTTAAATGAGAATCAAAATCAGAATCTCATAAACTCAAGATAAAATCGTAGTCAACTCGTAAAATTGGATAAAATTACACAAAATCACAATTTTATGAATTTTAACGGTTTTATAGATTTTTCTATGACACCTTTACTAAGAATCCTTGATGGTGCGTTGGTGGAGTGAGGCCTGCTATTTACATGTGGGCTGTCCGGCCGTGGGCTGAATCTAGGCCTTGTAATTTTCTTTTCTTTTTTGGTTTTGGGTTTTCTACTCTTTCTACTCAACAATTGCACTCCTAATTTGACTTTTTAACTTTGTAAGACAAAAAATTTATGTAAAATATTAATAAAGCAAATGAATACCAATTGAAAATTTTCTTTTTCTTGTATGTAATTCTTGATTAGTAGTTTTACCTAATCAAGAAAAATTTTGAAATGTCATTTATTTGTGATGTTAAATTTTTACCTAAATTTTTTATTTTAAACGTAAAAAATGTCAACCCAGATTACTATTTTTGAAGTATTTTTTTTTTATATTTTACAGTATAGATCTTTTCTTTCTTTCTTTTTTCTATCTTTATTTTTTGATGAGAAATATAATTTTATTAATATATCAAAATTGTAAGGGTTATGGGACCAACTCAAATGGAATAATATACTAG